TTTTTTTTATTTGCTGGATTGTGATAAAAATGTATCCCTAAGAAATTATAAATGCAAAAATTTGTTGACAGAAAGAAAGGCATGAAGTGAATGCTAATGATGAGTGGTTTTAAATTTAATATATTTCTTTTATTTATGTCGTGTATATTCTAAATGTTAATTGTAACTTAATTCAGAAAAGGTCATTTGTAGTTCTATGAGAACTATTTTTCTTTTTTATATAAATATTGACAGAAACTGACCCTTAACTTTGACCAAGTTTTGAATTTTGTCTGTTATCAGCCTAATTTATGCTGTTCCAGTATTAAAAACCCTCTTTTTATCTTTATTTTTTTGTATCACAAAGTTACTTACATAGATTATGTACTGTGGTTGTCACCACCCTGTTGACTGCCGACAACAACAGAAGCAAATGGAGCAGTGGTTTGGACAGAAGTCAGTAAGTATTTTCAGTCTTTTTCATCTGTGAGTTTAAAGGACGTCACATTAAAGACTGGAACAGTGTTGCCAGCTCTGTTACACCCAAAACAAAACAATCACTCTCACATTTCCTTGATGATCARGTTCTGTTATAATTCAACAGCTGCAGGTGGACGGGTCCCACTCRGGTTTCGAGGATCTTAAATATTTTATCCTGGGACACGAGGCTGGTCCTCAGGCAGCAGAAGTCATAACATARAAGCTGGTGTGCAGGGTGAGCAGGATGACACAGGACACATGCTGAGCTTACAGGGATCGATCAAACATTTAGACTTCATAATGAACAAAAACAGGTGTGGGTGACAGTCTGAGCTTTTTTACGCGTGGCAGCTGGAGACTGACCAAACAAAACGAACAAGAAGCAACATGTTTTTATGCTGACTTCCTGCTGAGCCACTCCTGACAGGCTGTACCTCTGTTTCCTGACAGGGAAGCATCTGTGGTTCCAAATCATCCAGAGGGCCATGAGTCCCAGCTTTCTGCGCCGTTTGACTTTATCAGGGTGAAAACACGTCAGTGTTAATTTTATTTACATAGCACATAAAAACAACAGAGGTTGGCCAAAGTGCTTCACAATTAAGCCAAATGAATAAAACAGTTGAGCAACACATAAATATAGACAGTAAAATCAACTTCAAATACAGAAAAACATTAAAAATATTATCATTAAAAGAATCTCAAACTCTACCAGAATGAAAGGCCAGGGAGTAAAAGTGAGTTTTAAGTAGATATTTAAAAGTCTCAACAGTCCATATGCTAAGAGGTAAACCATTCCAGAGTTTTGGTGCAGAGACTGCAGAGGCCCGATCACCTCTAGACTTTARCCTGGATCTAAGAACATCTAAGAGGAACTGGTTGGATGACCGAAGTGCTCTAACTGAAGTGTGGATGTTGATGAACTCGCACAAGTAGGATGGGGCCAGACTTTTTAAAGCTTTAAAAGTAAGCAATAAAATCTTAAAATTTATCCTAAAATGAACAGGAAGCCAATGGAGAGAAGCCAGAACCGGAGATATGTGTTCCTATTCTTTAGTTCCTGTTAAAAGACGAGCTGCTGCATTTTGGACAACTTGTAATCGATGCAGAGAAGATTTATCTAAAACAAACATACAAGGAATTACAATAAACCAGACGAGACGTAATGAGAGCATGAATCGCTTTCTCAAGGTTTTGTTTGGGAGGTATGGCTTCACCTTAGTAATAAGGTGACAAGCAACATATGTTCCTGTGTGTTTCTGTGTGAATCATCACTAACCCAGTCATATCTTTAGGTTCAGACCCTGCAGCTCAGGTCCACGATTGTTCAAAAACCCTTCAGGCAACTCTAGAAGCACTTTAAAAGTCTGCAACAACTTCCTCTTTAATGTAAATGTTTCACTTTATTTCAAAAATAGCTTTATGGTATAAAAAATCCAGGTAATTCTATTGCAAAAACTGCTAGATGATTGTTATGCAGTAAAATCTGTAATCATTTCAAGTTAAAACTATTAAATGGTGGGATTTTGAGAAAAGGAAGGTGGCTCAGTTGGTAGAGCTGTTGCCTCTCAGCAAGAAGGTTGCCGGATCRAATCCTGGGATCTTTCCAGGTAGAGTTTGCTCATTCTCTCCATGCATGYGTGRGTTTTCTTCTGGTACTCAGGTTACCTCCAACAGACCAAAGGCACGGCCATTAGGCTAACTCTAGATAGGGTAACTCTAAATGGTCTCAGGTGTAAGTGAGAGGGTGAGTGGTTGTTTGTCTCTATGTGTCCCTGTGATGGACTTACAACCTGTCCAGGGTGTCCCTTGACCCTCGCACAGTGACTGTTAGATATGAGTACCAGTGACCCCTGTGACCCTGAAAGGAAGAAGCGTGTACAGAAAATGGATGGATAGATTTTGAGAAAAGGTTATTATGAGCAAGAAGTATCTTACCTGTTATAGATAAGGCCACCCTCAGTTTGAAGAACTATTCTCAGAATTAAATTAGTTAGAATAAATAAACATCTGGGGCTGGGCACTGGGGTGTGTGCCGGCCTGGCCTGGTGACTGCCTGTTGGGGCTCGGGGCCTCTGGGCC